GGCTCCTTGTTTTCTTTTGTTGTCTGCCCTTCATCACCTGCGTAACCCTCCCTTCTTGCCGCCCTCCTCCCCCTTCCCCCACCCGTTGGACTTCTGTTGCACACAGCTGGGCATGCTCTGGCCCCATAACTAAATGAAGGTCTGGAGCAGGACTTCTCAGTATTGGCACTACTGACATTTTGGGCTGGATAATTCTCTGCTGGTAGAAGGAAAGTGCTATCCTCTGCATTTTCAGATGTTCAGTAGCATCCCTGGTCTCCACCCACTGGATGCTAGTACTATCACCCCTCCCCTATGGCGACAACAAAGAAAGTCTCTCCACATAAGGTCAAATGTTCCCTGGGGAGCAAAATAGCCCCCAGTTGAGAGCCATTGCTTTATAGGAATATGGGGTTGGGGTCAAGTTGATTATAGCCTGTCTTCCTCAATAGACAATGAGCAGCTGGAGGGCCAGAAGAGTGAATGGTTTACCCACATCTAGTGCAGTGCCTGTAGCATGTAGCAAGTGGTGCTGCAGGGAGAATGAATGAATGCTTTCCATGGATATGGTATGTTTCAGGATGAGGGCCTGAAGGCCTGCGTTCCCATCCAGATCCTCACTAGTCTGCTCTGGGCCAGCCGGGGGCACACACCTACCCCCTCCTGGGCCTCTGTCCCCTTTGTGATCTCTTAGAAGATTATCACAGCCCCAAATGCCCTGGACACCTATGGAACTGCCATGCTCCACCTCAGAGGCCCAGAGTCCAGGGGCTGAGGAGGGGCTGTCTGCCAGGTTGGATGCTATACAACTGCCCGGTACTCAGTTCCTTCATTGGACCCTTGCCCCTTAAGCCAAATCAATCACAGAGAGAAGAGTAAGCCCTCCCACACCCAAAAGAGACCCAATGCAGGAGAGGTGGCTTCTTTTTTGGGTGTGTGTCTTAAAAGGGAAAACACATAACCTCAAAGGTAACCAAATATCCAAATCATGATGGCCAGCAGCGCACACCCCAAATCCACCTATTCATGAGTTTAACAAAAAGCTTCTTTAGGATACACTGTAAGGCCATTGAGAGGGAGAAAAGTCGCCTCTCACAAGCTCAGGCCAGCCCGCAGGCCCGCCCGCCTAGTGTGTGCCACCACGCACGCGCTGCGCAGCGCACACCACACACACACACACACGCACGAACACACACACACACACTCACACACACACACACATTCGGCTGCTTACAAGGAGGCTCTGAGTTTTTAAAAGTAAACTCTACGGTTTCCGTTCTTGCCCTGGATTCAACTTTTGAAAAAAGGAACTGTTTTCCCGTTTTCCCTACAAAGGCCCGCACGCCCTCCTCCCTCCATTCTGGTCCTCCGGCCTCACTCGGGCTCTCCCTCTCTAACCCTGCACCCGCCCAGCACCACCGCCCCTCTCAGCCACTCCTCCCCTGCAACAAGGACTCCGTTTCCAGCCACGCCCAGGGGCCCAGACCTCCTCTGTATCCTATCCGGTCCGGGGAAGGAGAGCAGCTAGGGGAGACGCCACAATCCCCTTTCCCTCCATTGAACAGAGAGCTTTCTTAAGGAAAGAAGGTAGCAGTGAAGCTCCCATCAAGGCCCACAGCATGGCCAAAAGGCCAGCCTGGTGATAGCAGGAGAGGATGGCTCCTGTTTGGAGATGTTCCCACCCATAGGGGCACCTGGGTGGTTCAGTGGGTTAGGCATCTGACTCTTGATTTCAGCTCAGGTCATGATCTTGGCTCTGTGCTCAGCACACCATCTGCTTGTCCCTCTCCTTCTGTGCCTCCCTCATTCATATTCTCTCTCTCTCTCTCTCTCTCTCTTTAAAAATAAGTAAATAAGTAAGTAAGTAAGTAATAAATAATAATAAATAAATAAAATATTTTTTAAAAAGGTTCACTGGCCCTGTCACTCCTCACACTCCACTTGTAAGCAGGCCTGTTCTCCACGCATTGCTTCCTGAGTCTGGGTTGTCTTCCTTGAACTTGCCTTTCACTCCCACCCCCAGCTTCTACTTCTTGCTGCCCCCACTCCCAAGATGTTCAAGGGTCCAGTCCAGGTGTTAGCACAGAGGCAGCAAGGATGCCCCAGGACCTGCCAGCTGGAGGCCCGGGGCAGGGATTTCTCAGAGACAGAAACATTACCAGGATCAGGGGCTTTCAAGCTTTTTTGACCATAGCCCGCAGTAAGAAATCATCAGTTAAACACCAAGTTTGTATGTATTGTGTACATACCTATGTATTATAATCACATATACACTTATCTAGGACTGCAAAATATATAACAGTAATAGAAGTTTTCAGAAACAATACTTACCTTTATCACATGGAAGGCACTATGAGATTTCTCTTTCCTATGTCATTACACTGCCCTAAATTGATTTTACCAGCTGCAGATGGACATGTTCTGTGCTAGATGTCCCTGCAGGAGCAGACACAGACTAAAAGTGAGACTCTGAGCAGGGGCCCGTGGGCCTCCCGTTGCTCCTCAGCCGAGGCCCTTCTCAGCCCAAGAAGAAGGGGCTTGCGAGAGACCAGGTTCTACAAGGCATCATGAAAAAAATCCACGTGAAAAGTTGGGACATGGCCTTTTACTATTACAGAACATTCTAAATGGGTACTCTCCTGAACCTACAGATTGTGACCCCAAGGGGACCTAGAAGCCGTTAGAGGAGAGGAATTAAGGTTTCTGGTGCCTACTGAGAGCCTGACAAGGACCTCTTCAATATCATGTAGCCAATTAACTGGCTGAGTTGGGATTCACACTCAGGTCTGCCCTACCTGGCAGGTTCCCACCTTAGCAGCTCCACCCCACCATCCAGGGAGTGAGGTCCCTTGGAGCTCCCACTCTGACTAGGGAGTTCGACAGTTTGTTCTCAACATGTGGGGATAGAAGGCGCCCCCATGGGCATGCAGGGGTGCAGGCTGCATGGGATGTGGGTGTGTGTGAGATGGGGAGCAGGGGCAAAGTATGTGCATAGCTGTAAGAAGGGGCCTGGAGTCAGGTGTGGCTCAGACAGCACACAGACTCCCTGCAAATAAGTAATACTACGTCTGTCATTTTACCTTCTTGGATTCTTTACTCCTATATTGACCAGAGGGCTTTCAAATAATAAAGAGAGAATCCCAACTTAAGTATAATTTTTATGGAAAATTCTAGGAAAAGAAAAATATTTACTTAATATTGAAATTAGTACTACTACTAATAAATGATATTGAACGGTTATTGAGTTCAATAACTGCCCAGTGGCAGGCACCATGCTAAGGGCTTTGCTTCATCGTTGCAGCTACTGTTTATCGAGAGGGCCAGCTATGGGCCTGCACTGAGCACAGACCTGGCACCTAGGTGGCGCTCAGTAGTTACTGGAGAATGAATGAAGGTACCAGGTGATGCGCTAGAAAGTGCACCTACATACATCTCATTTAAACCCAACTTGATATAACCTGAAAAGTTCCAGTATTTCTCTGAGAGAGTTTTTCTTCCTTTTGATAATTCATTGGAGGAGCGATCTCCCCTTCTGGGTTAGAGGCACCGCCTCCTTTGGGTTTTCTCCGCCATGGCCATGCGGTTTTCTCCCCAATTGCCTTTCCATTCCTGGGCAGTCTCTTCCAGGCTCAGTGCCTGACAGGCCAACACTCCTACACTGATCTTCAAAGCACCTCCTAAGCCGCCCTGCCCAGGGCCACAGGCGATCTGATCGTCCCTTCTCCTTGGCAACCCAGAGGCAAGGGAGGAACAAGGATTAGAGCCTAGACATCTGGATTCTTTAATCAAGATGAGCAACTGACTAGAGCCTCAGAAAACCCAGATTCTAGTTCTGCCCTTCCCCTAAGTCACATACGACCTTTAGAAAGTCATCATCACACCTTTCTGGGTTCACTTTCTTTCGAATGTGTTTCCCAAGATCCAGGGTTCCCCCAAACGGTCAGATACCCACCCACCCACCACAGTGTCCCGGACCTGAAACACCACACTAATCCATCCAGCTTCCTTCCTTTCCTCCTGGCAGTCACCCTGACAGAATTGGAATTTACGCACCAAACAAAATGCTGGCTGGGTCCTGGGCTCCTTAGTGGTGAAACCCTAGAGGAATCCTATCAGAACCCTGCTCACAATTGCAAGGAGTAGAATGATGGAAAAGTTTGGGTTGGATACTATCTTTCAACAGGAGACAAGCCCGCACCCCACAGTTGGGTCTGGCCTAGAATGCAGGTTAACACTGACAACCGTCCGCCCAACCCCAGGGTTAGAAAGGCTCCACCACCATTGGCTTCAACTGCAGAGGAACCCAGAGACGGAAAAACTGTCTCTGGTCATGTGTCCTCATTTAGTCTCCTCTTCCTTGAGAGATGCCCCTGCTTGGTGACACGGTCAGAGTTTGTCTCCCTTGCGGACAGCTCAGTGGCCCTGTCCCAGGTTCTGTCAATTCCCCCCAGCTCTTTGCCAGCCCTCTGGGGCGCCCTGTGGCTCCTGGAGTAGGCCAAGTGGCCAAGGCGGTGGGACCAATGGGTTCTTACAGCCGCTGCTTGGGCACCTGCCGTGCCCCTGACACACTGTTCCTCCCACTTCGTGCATCCCTCAGAGCCTCCTCCTTCCCACTGCCAGCACAGGCCACGGCTCAGAATCAGGAGGCAACTCCTCCAGCTCAGAAGTAGCCGCGGGGATCCGGACCCGCATTCCCACTCTAAAGCTGCTAGCCTGCCCACCCCGGCTCGTTCCTGACCCTAGGACTTGAAAACACGCGCGGGCGTTTGGTGTAAAAGCTCCCTTAATTCCGGGGGATCGGCAGACCGGAGCCCCTCCTCACGTGTCCCTTTGCCCCATTCGCGCTGCGTCTGCAACAGCCAGAAAGTTTGCTCAACTCCACGGGCCGGCGGGGGGCCCCCGGCACACGCCTCCCCCCACTGGGGACACGGAGCGGGGCAGCGGGGCGCGCCGCGGGCTGGTCCAGGCTCCCCGCCTCCCCCGCCGGGAGAGCCTCTCCCCGGAGGGAAGGAGACAGTTACCTTGAAGAGTTGGACTCCCTTCCGCAAGAACTTCAGGGCCACACTCCTGGCCAGGCGGCGGGGGCTCCTGGGGCCGGGGGGCGCGGGGGGCGCGGGGGCGCGGGGGGCGCGGGTGTCGCGGCGCTGCGGGGAGGCGCTCCTGCGCGCGCGCCGCGCACCCCTCTTGCGGCTGCCGGCGTGCTGTCCGCAGGTCCCCGCGCGGGCCGAGCGAAGGGCCGCTGCAAGGTGCCCGGAGCCCCTGGCACCCGCGTCAGATGCGCGGAGGGAGGCAGAGGGAGAGGGACCTTGAGCGGCGCGGCGCGCGTCCTCAGCTCTGCGAGCCCCCTCTGGAGCGGCGGGGAGGTAGGTGGGCGGGCGGGCGGGCGGGCATGGCGCGCGGTGACACATACATAGGGGCAGGCGGGGGAGGGGAGGCCGGCGCCGAGGGAAACCCCACCCCCGGAGACCCGAGGGGCGGCCGGGGGGGAGGGGCGGGGAGGGCGGAGGCGTCTGGAGAGCGCTGGACCCCGGCTCCGGACCGGCGCGCCGCGAGAGGAGCGCGCGGCCCGGGGCCCGCGGGAGGCAGCGGCGCGGGAAGGGCTGCAATGCGGTCGGCGGCTCCGCAGTCCGAGGGGCCCTGGAGGGCTGCGTCGCCCCAGCGCCGGCGCCCGCGCCCGCACCCGCACCCGCGCCCCCGCCCGCGCCCGCGCCCTCGCCCGCGCCCGCGGTGACCGGCCGCGGCTCCCCGGCGCCCGGCGCGGGGAGTGCAGCGGACGCCCCGCGGAAGCGACCGGGCAGGGCGCGCCCGCTGCTCGCGGGCCACGGTTTGGAAGGACCCTCGGGAGGAGCTGGCTCAAAGTTTTTGGGGATGGGGTGCGCCGGGATGGCAGGGCGCACGGAGGTTAGGGCGCAGCGGGGAGGCGCGCTGGGCGCTCGACCCTCAGGGCAAAAGGCTGAGGTTCTTCAAAGTCCCGGAGAGACCAAGGACGCCTCAAACCAAGCAGGCTTCTCCCGCACTTCTGTAGCTCCAGAGACCACCCTCCTTAATAATTTCGTTTCCAGTCAAAAGAATAAGAGAACCAACAGCGCTTAACACCTTCCGTGAGCTGGTTGCTTAACATGCATTAATATCTCACTTAATTTTCCCCAAAGCCCAGTGAGGTAAATATTAGGATTCCTCCATTCCCAAAGGATGTGAAAACGGAGGCTCAGAGAGTGATGGAGTTACCTACTCAAGGCGGGGTCTGAATTCAAACCCAAAGTCGTGCTCTCTCTGCTACACGAGCTGCTGACTAAGCTGCTCTCTCTGCTACACGAGTTTGGGAGCCACCCAGGCTGGTTGGTGGCCCTCGGGGTCCTTATGAAGGATGCTGGTGATGCTTGACCCTAAGATTTAGTGGCCTCGGTCAGTGTGGTGGAAGCCTCTTGACTCCCTCACTGGGCATGGATTGAATGAAGAAGAGCAAGAAGTGGGGTGTTTGTGGGCTGCCCATGACAGAGATAGTAGACTAAGCTTTTTCTTGATTAAAAGGCATGAAAGTGGCTCCGTTTCCCAGGGGTGACAACTCTGGAATGTGTGGGTTTTTTGCTGGCCATCCCTGCTAGGGGGCAGGACTGGCCCTGGCCCAGCACATTCCCTTGTCTGTTCTCTACACAGGCCAGTGAAGCCTGGGGAGGGTGTGGTTCCCACTCCACCCACTGGTCCCCAGGAGCCATGGTGAGGTGTTCCACTGATGGGCAGTTCTTAGCTCTACCCCCTTTTCTACCTGAATCTGTTGGTTTCTTCCCGTCAGGTCTCCAAGTTACAGAGCATCTTGGGCAGTGCTGACATGAGGGTGACTAGAACCTCTCAGGGGGGAGAACAGCATCTTGTCTTTCAAACGAAAAAGTGGGATGAAATCTTATTAGTTACTGACCCAAGACTGCCTCGATCAGGAGAAACGATTCTTCTAGAAAAAAAAAAAAATCCTTAAAATTCCAACAGGAGGAGTCATGGGTTCTCATGCCAATATTTGCCTGATGCTCTAGGTGAGAACAAACCACACCCTCATCTGTAAAACAGGGTCATATCTGACTTACATCCCAGAATGTGTAGGGTTAGTGAAGGACAATTCAATTCAAAGACAAATATTGATTAGATAATTTATCTTTGTAATGAAGTGAACAAATTCTTATCTAATTATCTAATTTTGTAATGAGGCTGAGAGACATACAATGGGCTCCTATTATATGCCAGACGTTGTTTGATACAGCAGCCTTGCAGGTGGATATTATTTCCATTTTGCACACTAAGAAACTGAGACTCACAGGCCACCCAGGTAGTGAATGAGTGCAGGTTAGCATAGGTCATTAGTGACTCCACACTGCTACCCCTTCGGGCTACGGCAAACACAGGATGATTGGAAAGTGCTTGGACAATTTAAAGACCACGTTCCAAAAATTAAAGGACGTAGTGTCAGAAAGCCATTGGTGGCATATGGATGTTCCCCTGTTTAATGCAGAGTGCTCTTCCTTGTGTAGTTATTTCTGATGCTGGTCATCTCTCCTCTGCTCAAATACTTAATGCCCTTTCCAGGCTGCCTGACCCTATCTGCTGCTATGGGCGACCTTTAACCTCTGGCTGCTCCAAGTATGGTCCACAGACTAGTGGTGTCAGCTGGGCACTTGTTCAAAATGCAAAAATCTCAAGCCTACTCCAGACCTTCTGCCTCAGAATCTGCATTTTAATGAGATCCCCACAGGAGTGTTTTATATGCCTTCTGAAGTTTTAAGAACCACTGTGCTGGCATCATTCAGCAGGTTTTACTCAGTCAACCACAAAACTGCAGAATAAGAGGATTTCAGAGCTGAGAAGGGCTCTAGGAGAACAATGAGGACCACATCCTCATTGTCTGGAACACAGGATCCTTGAACATGCTCATGGATTTGACTCCCTTCTGAGTCCATGTCCCATTTTCACATGGTTCTCAGATTTTGTAGAAGCACCTGCTGGTTCCCATCACTGTGGGTTCAACAGTGAACAAAACAGGCCCATTTCCACCTCCTGGCCTTGTCTGCCAGACCTCCTTCCACATGGCAGATCTTTTTGTGTTTGAAATCAGTGATTCCACTGCTCGTGCACTTCCTCTCTTCCCCTTTAGGACTGGGCATCACCAGTTCATTCTCTCCTTCCTCATCTCTCTCTAGCCGTGGATGCTACCCACTGCCACCAGTCTTCTTCCAGCAGGTTGGACTGCCCTTGTCTCATGTAGTGAGTGATTCAGACCTAAACATAGTCCTGCTAAGTGTGCTTAGCCCAGGGAGCTCAACATCCTTTGATGGGGTACTATGCTTCTGTTAATGTAGCGTACATTTATGTGCTTTTCTGGCAACCTCATCACAGCTCATTCTGAGCCTGTAGTCAACTCAGATCTCCTTTCTGCATGTACTGCCATGGCCCAGTGTCTTCCCTGGTTTGTTCTGGTACGGTGGGTTGTTCTAATCCAAGTGTGGGACTTCACCTTTACCTATCTTAAAAATTTCCCTGATAAGATAAGCTCAACACTCCTAACCCTCTCAGATCCTGTTTCTGTCATTCTCTTTGTTTGCTGTTGTTCTCATCAGTGGACTTTCTACAAAGCTGACTGGTGTCCCACTTTTCTGTCTTCACTTATGCTGGGGCTGAGTTCTAGAGCAGGGCAGGATGCCATGGCTCCCTATCCCAATTATAATGGCTGCATAATGCATCACCCCAAACCTTAGTGGCTTAAAGCAATGAGTCGTTTAATGTTGTTCCGGGTTTCTCTGAGTCAGGAATCTGGGAGAAGCATGGCCAGGCAGTTCTGTCTTGGGTTATCTCGTGGGGTTGCAGTTAGATGTCAGCTGAAGGCTTGACTGGGGCTTGAAGTTCCAGGTCTAAGGTGGCCGGCAAGTCAGTGTTGGCTGTTGGCCAGTGGCCTCAGCTCTTCTCCATCCAGCCTGCCAGTGGAGCTGCCTCATGACATGGCAGCTGGCTTCTGCCAGAGCAAGTGATACAGGAGGCTGAGTAGAAGCTGCAGTACTCAGATGTCCTAGCTTTGGAAGTCACACACTGTCATGTCTACCATATTCTTTTAGCACACAGCCCACCCTGAATTAATGTGTGAGTACCAGAGGTAGGGATTCCTGGGAAGCATCTTGGAGATTGGCTTCCACAATCCATTAAATTGAAACTTAGAGGATGGCCAGTCTCCCTTCAGTTCACTTAAGTGTAGCACCACTAGCACTTGTTTCTGTCCATTACATGGGGACACCATGTACATATCTTGCTAAGTCCCAGTGCAAGCTCTTTGCAGAATTCCTTTGAAGCATCCTTTGAATACTCTTGTATGAGCAAGCAGTTTAGCTTGTGCTCTGGGACAACATTTCTTATTTTCTTATTTTTTTATTTTTTAAATTCAGTTAGCCAATATAGAGTACATCATTAGTTTCAGATGTAGTGTTCAATAATTTATCAGTTGCGTATACCACCTGGTGCTCATAAGGAGGGCATGTGATATGATGTCCCAATTTCTGCAGGACAGCCTTCAGCATCCCACTCCTCCTGATACAGCCAAAGATTGTTGTGTTGCTCTTCTATGTCACACTTTTGGTGGATATTAAAACTTGTGGACAGTTAAAACCATCAGACCGTTTTCATGCTGGCCCCTGTAAAAAGGGATTCCTGTCTATCTCAAGCAACAAAACAGAGTTAAGGAGGGAGAGGTTCCCTGTGTGTTCAGTAGTATTGGAAGTGAACCCCAGGTCTGGCACAGAGGACTTAGGGGAGTTTCTTAACTTCTCTGGATCTCAGTTTTCTCATCTGTGAAATGGAACGGTATGGAACTGTAGAATTGGAATGAGGGATGTCAGTCAGGATGTCCTGGCTCCAGGAGCAAGATGGTGAATTTTCTTCCCTTTCCTCTCCACTACAATTCAATGTCCCTCGGTAAGTGTGTGCTGCTTTCTAGATTTGTAAAAGAAGCTAAAATACCTCCTCAGAGGGCAGCAATGATAAATACTGTATGTAATGCATGTAGAGAGGTTGTGATCCTTTCTGGAAGCAAAGGGCCATGGAAGTATGATATGGAAAAG